ATAAAGTGATACGCGAACGCCGTGATAAACGAACTCGTATCTTCTGATTTTCATTTCTTCGTACAATCAAGAATTCTAGAATCTAGATGTCAATTAGTTTTACCACAGTTTTATTACAAAGAGCCTCATAAAATCTTAGGTACCTACATACCATATGCGCAAATAGGGGGCGCAGGGGCGTCATTTCAGGTTTTTTTTCGGGTGTGCGAGGTTTCAAGCAGGCCATTTTGAAATTTCACCAGGCCATATAATAGATATACAAACGTGCATTATCCTGTTTTCAATTATTTCTATACATTATGGACCGAATAAATTCGGAATCATTGCATCAAAATAAATAGTAAATATCAATTAAGATACTAAAATATAATAAATAATTAATTACCTTAACAGTGAAAACCAATAATAATTTATGCATAATAAGCTAGAAGAAGAATTAATGCAGCAGCAAATAAAAAAAAAAGGACTTAACATCTATATTAATAAATTGTCATTTATTTTCATAATTATTATAATTTTGGAAAAAGCAAAGCGCTAGAAAAAACAAATTTTTATTTAAATAAGCGAATATCGTCGATTTTTTAGTTTAGCAAATATATCTACAGCTTCTTCTAAATTTATATTGTTAACTTCTTCTTTTTCAACATTAAGTACCATCAGATCATTAAGTCTTTCATCACCCATGGTAGTGCGTAAATATGACTTAACTCTTTTAAGCGATGAAAAAAACCTTTCATTTGATGCCGTTGTAATTGGTAAAGTTTTTGCCAATGAAATAATTTTTAAAGTTTCTACAAAAGCGATAGGAAAATATTTTAAGCAATATTATTAGGCTTCAGCGGGACGCAGGCCAAGGCTTCAGCAGGGCGCAGGCCAATTGGAAGTATTTAAAAATTAAGGGGTGCTACCGCACACCCTGACCCCCCCCCCCCCCCAAATGACGCCCCTGAGGGGGCGATTTAGGGGCCAAGCCTCCACTAACAATTTTAACAGCCCTCTCAAACATTTTCTAAATTTTTTTAGCTTTTTCAATATTATATTAGTAGGGCTTAGCGCTTACTATAATAGTTTATGGGCCTCCCCAAATCTCAAACGCTATTTGCATTTATTTTAAGAAATATTTTTGAATGTTATCCAAGTATAATATTTTCCGACAATTGTACGTAAATACATAATAATGAAAAATACGAAATATTCACAAAATATGCTAATAACAGTGCCTCAATATGCACTTTCCTAAAATACCTATGCAAAGATATGTAAATTTAAATTTTTTTTCATTTCGCCATTTCATTAGAATAATCTACGACCACTACAAAAAACATGCGAATGTGAACCCTAGACTTATTATATATCTAGTAGACAACAGGTTCGACATTTCTGATCAAAATACTATACTTAGTATTTATTATTTCTAATACTTTTATTAAATATTACTTAATATATTTTTCTTTAGATTCAAACAAAATCGTATAGTCATTACATACTATGTCGGTGAACTAACATTTTATAAGGTATTCTCTAAAATATTTTGAAATATACCTACTTTGAATATATCTTAAGGCTTCCATTATTTATGAATATTATTTACTATAATAACTCAAAATTAATGTATGTAAGTATGCTTTATGAGAATAAAAATTATTACCTATTATTATTTCTAGTAATTACTACACACGCGCTAACCGTGAAAGCTAGCTGGCCGTTTATTGTCTCAGATGCAGTTTATGCAACTTGTACTTTTTATATCCAAATTGATTTGTTTATTAAATTAAAGTTTAATTGTTAACCAAGCTTATTTTATTCTATTAATTTTTCTTTTAATTATAGATTTTTAATTCAACCAGGCTTTTAGATTCTGAGCTTAGCGATTAATGAATATAGTGATTTTAAATGATGTCTGTTTTTTTTTTAGTTTGTGTCTGTCATCACGGTTTGGGCAGTAAACTGCTTCGATTTTCTTCAACATTATCTTGTTCGATGGGAAAGTGAATCTAGTTGGTGTAGGTACTCGGGAAGTCGAAATTCCTAGTTGTTTTCAAAAGCACACAATAAACAACTGTAATACAAGGTTTACTCATTAGTCTACCTTAACAAAAAAAACAATGTCTACAAGCAAATCAAATTAAATTTTTATATGATTTTTGAAGTTCATATTTTTACAAGATTGGATATTCACTCAATTTCTCATGTAGCGATTATCTTATTTTGTTGTAGTTCAAAAACGAATAACTGTAAATTCATGAACATTTTACTGAATGTTTTTATTTTTATTTTCTATACACCATACCATTTGACTCTCTTTGAGCTGTTTAAGGACATTGTCAGTTGTCAATTGTTAATTTTAAATTACATAACAATAAATTACAATTAATAGTGCCATTTTAGATTCTGAGCGGAGCGATGAAAGTATTGATTTTACAGTGTGTTTTTTTTTTTATTTGTGTCTGTCATCGTCTTTTAGAACAGTAAAAATGCATAGATTTTCTTCAACACTATCTTATCTGATAGAAAAGTGAATATAGTTGGTACTTATGGGGGTAAGAAGTAAAAATTTTTTTCAGTTGTTTTCTGAAGCACTGTGAAAAACAAAAGAAAAATTAAGGAAAAACTGGAAATGGTACGTAAAATCTGTTTTCCGAAAAATCGATTTGGTTTTTGGTGCAACTATTAAACAAATGACTATAGGTACATGAACTTTTGACTGGATATTTATATTGGAAATTTTTTATACCCATAACATTTTCCAAATATTTGACTTATTTGAGCTATTAAGGACAACTACTTATGAATTTTAGCTAAAAAAAACTACCTATAAAAGAAACCTATGTATTTTAATGAGTTTTGCACTAGTGCACAATGTGCAATAGATTTTGTGATTTCGGTCTTAGTTTTAAAGTTATAACTTATAACCTTGTGAAGTCCGCGAGATTATTTAATACTAATAAAGTAATTAAATAAAAATTAAGTACCTACCTATGATAAGTAATTTCTATTTTTTGGTATTTAATATTTAAAAATAAAATTTGGAAATTGTTTGAAATGTAGTACTTTAAATGTAAATTAATTAACTCTTTTAATTAAATATTGTAACTTAATTATACATTGATTGCATGTTTATTTCAGACCCACTATGCCAGGGAAGGGGGGAGAAGCAATAGGAGTAAATAATGAAGGGAAGTAAAAATGTCGTTTTAGATATTGTTTTATAGATCAATGTATCTCTCTCCTGAAATAAACACTGCATGAATGCATTTAAACTTATTATACCATGCTAGGTAATAAATAATTCAGGGGAAAATGTATAATTTATATAAAAATATATTTTGTTCGCCTTCAAATACTTAAGGTATTTGTATAATACATAGTTGTAATTATTTTTCTAATTGCGGAAAAGATATGTTTTCCAAACAAGCAAATGGTTGTAATTAAAACCACATGTCCTGACTGATTAAGAAAGCCCCACAAAGGTAATAAAAAAAAAACTATTCATAAATATACATAATTGTTATATTTTAATTTTTTTTTTATTATTTTATTAAATAAACCAGTGATTCGAAACGTGGTCGATCCGCCCCCTTGCGGGCTTTTAATTTTTGAGTGGGCGTTCAATTTTATTAGATTTAAGAATTGAGTACATACAAATCCGGGGTGGGGGTCGGTGTGAGATTTCGAAATCTAAAAGGGGCGTTGAGTAAAAATGGTCTGGAATCGCTGATATAAACTGTCCGTAGCATCTATGGCCATTTGAGGTGCCATATTTTAATTATCTTTTAAGAAATCCAAAGAAGGAACAGTATTATTATGTTTTGATAAATGATTAATTATATTATACTATACATACTTATTTTAATATATATACATTTTTTTATTATTGATCGGTCATCCTTTTATAAACAGATAATATTACATGTACATATATTCCAATTATTTTGATAAAAATATGTTTGTGTTGCCGCTATCACAGAATATCTAGTAGGTGCCTAATAAGAATAAATTGACAAGATCATTATGCAGTTACATGTTATAAAATGTTAAATCTGACCTATGAAATAGCTTTTAATATTTAATAAATAAATAAAAATGTACAAAACTGGGTAACAGAAATGTATTTATATCCCCCTTTGTATATTTTACTATATTAAAAAAAATTAATAAAATTCAAAAAATAATTTGATATAATATAATATATTACATAAGTAAAATTTTTTAATAAAACCCCTTCCATTGAAAATATCTGTGTACGCCACTGATGAGTGTTCCTTATTATTATACCTAATGATTCAAAATAGCTTTAAAAAATAATACTTTTGATGTAACTACAGAAAAAATAAATTTGAGTTTTTTGGTGGAAGAGATTTGATTATGAATGTGCAAAACTGAAAACATGAACGAAACCAGTAATTTACCCTAAAAAGTTATAAGAAAAAATATGATAATAATTAATGAAAATGGGGAGTAGGTATTCTTTTTTTTTCCTCCGGTTATAAAAAATCATTATATAGATACGACCCTGATGACAACCAAACAATAACATAAATTAAATTAATATTATAAAGTTCCAAAATTTCCTCTACCAATCAATGAGTAATATAATTAGGTTACCATACCAATCGATAATTAATATAATTAGATTACTAAAGCAACCTCATTGTAATTTATTAGATTCTGAGCGTAGCGATGAATGTAGGGATGGGCAAATTACTCTAGAAAAATTAATTAATTACAAATTACTTAAAATCACAGTAATTAATTACAAAATAATAATTACATGAATGTAGAACATTTAATTACAAATTACAAATTACATAATTGAATTACTTACAATTACCAATTACATTATCAATAATTTTGATTTATACATTATACAATAAAAAAATATTAAAAGAATTAAATTAATTTAGATTAAAAGGAAATAGTATATGGATATTAGTTATTATAATAATAAAACGATATATATATTATATGACAAAAAGTTTAGAAAAATAAACATAAAAAAATTAAATGACTCCATAATTTTGGTTACCTTTTAAAAATACAAGTTTTTCAAATTGTTCTTCAAACAACCGAGAACAAGTATGTGCCATTATAAAGCCAGCAAAAGAAAACAATCTTTCTACCGGTGCTGATGAACAAAGATTAGTATTGTACCGAATAAATAATTGTTTAACAACAGGGTAATTATTTAAACATGTTAAGCTTTTATTTTTATCATTGAAAAATTGTAATACTTGTAATTCTAAATTATTTGTGGAGGAATCTGTAGAAGCTTGGGTTATTTTTTTTTGGTACAGCCTTTTCATTATTACATAAAATACATACCGCTTGAACATTACCATTATCGATTTTCTTAACCGTAAAAAAGGTTCCATCAAAAATTGGTTTATTGATATTTTTTTGAGTACATTCACTAGCGTTCATTATAATTTATAGTAATTACTTACTTATTAATAAATAAAGAAAAATAGTAAGTAAAATAATTACTTAGGGAGTTGCAAAAAAAAATATTATTTAACACTATGCGTCTATAGGAGACGACGAGGCGTTAATCAGTGACGGACAACAATGCGATAGGTACTAGTTACAGACACGTAGACTTAGTGTACAATTTTTGTCGATTTATACATAAAACATGGACAATTAAGATAGTACAATACTACATGTCTACATCGTCTATATTATACATAGTACAATGTTCAAAATAAAATAATCTTTCAGTATCGCTACAAATTACTAACCATTACATTTATCAGTAGATAGAAACATACACTTTGAATTGTTCAGTTCAATTTTAAATTTATACTAGAAAGTAATTGTTGGTAATTGTAAATTACTAATTACACAAATAGCACGTCATTTATTACCAATTACAAGTTACTTAAGTAATTGAATTACTGTAATTTAAAAGTGCCCAACCCTGGATGAATGTATTAAATTTACAAGACAAATACATGTACCGATATATGAAATATCTGCATGCAGTGTCAATCCTCCTTGATTTTTTTTCCAAAGAAAATGGTCCAGACTTATTTTTAAAATACCATCATATTAAGTTTATATCACAACAAATATTCCTCCAACTCTCTCTGCCTTCTGCTACTTCCTTCCAGTTTGCTCTTGGATCTACTGCTTTAACGTCTCTCTTCACACAATCATCCCATTTAAGGCGTTGTCTACCTAGCGATCTTTTCCCTATTGTTCACTCCACAATTTCTGCTTTTATTTTATGCTGTCGTTTATTTCTGCAGGCATGTCCAGACCACATTAACCTTTACATATAGTAATTATTATACTGTAAAATAAAAACCATTTAGGTATCAGCTCCTTATATAGTTATATAGAACTATAATATATGGAACGGACACTCCATATTACTCTATGCCAGTGTTTTTCAAACTGGGTTCCGCTGTCTTCTGAAAAATTTCAACTATTCATCCAAGAATAAAATTATAAAAATATAATTGATAAACATTTGTCAACCCATCAAGCACACATTTCTAATGAATTATATATAATTATAATCCATAACAATTTTGTTCATATAACTATTTAAAAAAAAAAATCAGTGTGTCATGAACATTTTTTAAAGAGCATGGTGTGCCATGTTTAATGAATGTTTGAAACCCACAGGTCTATGATTTAGCCTTGGTGATCACTAAAAATTGATAATGTGGGTTACACAAATGACGTTATAATGAAATTGCTGCAGTCGGACTTGGAAGTTTTCGTTTCAGTTGTATAGGAACTTGTATTCTGTGTTTATCACCTTGAAACGCATTTTGGTTAGCCTCTGGTGGCCTGTATATGCTAAATAATTATTCAGAATGCATTACAACGGATAACATATTAAAGTTGGATCAAAAACAACAAAAACAATAAACACTATACGAGTTTCAAATATTATCCGCCGCTAGTAGTTTGATGTTAACCTCCTCTCACACTAACTACAGATTAAATTATTTATTTATTTATCTGTGACTTAACTAAGATCTTTCATTCCCATTTTCCAGCAATCAACATCCACCAACACAACATTGTAGAATGATTGCGCCTACACAACTCAAATCAAACTGTGTGTTTGTGTGTGGCATCCTAGGGCATTTTTATCATCACTCCCTTTATTTTACATGGACACTTAAAGTGCTTAACAACTGGTTAGGTTTAAAATACATTTAATATAGATATAGGTAATATGCACAGTACCAACATTTAAAATATATCATACACTTAGGGTGTGAAAAATATTACATTTCCCCACAATTACTAATGTGTCGAAAATCACAAACTCAACATACACCATAAACACATTTATTGAAATCATATTATAAAACAATAATTTTTTCAAAAATCACAATTAAATAAATTAAAGTAGTTGTTATGATAAAAATTTAGTTATTATGAAATGGCAGTATTTATCTGGGTAATTGTCATAAAAGGTACATACAATTTATTTTAGAAAGTACATGAATTTTGTTTTTTAAAAGATTATGAAATAAACAAAAATTGTTATATATTGGATGGATTTTGTGCAAGGTCATGGGAGGAAAAAAAATTATTAATTGACTTTTACATATTGAATATGTTTATTGCGTATGGCCAAACTTATCTTGTTGATGTATCAGGCTATATGAATGAAGCATTTGTAACACATCCATCCAACATAGTGTGGTCAAGCATTAATTCTCTTGGTACTTTGCGCCACAATGCCACATCAAACACATAAAATGTGCCACGTTCAAATTTATCATCCATTTCAGACGTACTAGATATAGACACAGGAGTTATCCATATATGTTGTTTTATATGGTAACGCCACCCTCTTGTACGCCTAAAGCAACAAATTTAAATTTAATTAAATATATATATAAAAAAAAAATGTATAATTACTTACAATTCGCTAGCAACAGCCATCTGTATTCCATCACCAAAATGAGTATAAAAAAGATAGAACAATAAATCTTCCTTATACTCGGAGAACTTGATTGGAGCTAACTTATTTCTAAAATGCATATAAATAATTAATTCACCAAAAAACTTTCACACTTTAACATTTTTTTCTTACTTGATTTTGTGATGAATCTTATATTCATCAGGTACATCAAATTCAATGTTATGCGGTTCCAGTGGAGAATTTTCAAATGGACCTGCAAATGTTTCGTAAATGTTTTCAGGGGAATTCAAATTCATACCAAGGCTTGTCAAATCTTGTCCAAAAGTCAATGCTACCAATTTAGGATCATATTCAGCAGTTCTCATAGTAACCAGTTGACCAATAATTCCAAATTGATCACGTAGCATACTACTAGGTATATTAGTAACTTTACCTAAATAACAACAATTAATTAATAAAAATAAAAATAATAACTAAAATGTCATTTAAGAGACCATCATTAAGCGATGTTTGAACTCCAAGTTTTGGTACAGTACTACCATTCATATGAAAGTCTGTATCTAAATGGATTCCGCATGAATTATGATCAATATATTGATCCATATTAAGCTTATTGAAAAATTTAGATCCAACATTTGTATTACTACTCCACTGCTGGTTTGAATCTATCATAGTAGACGGAGTATTAGCGACATCTTGCATTTGAACTTGAGTACCAGGTAATGCTGGAAAATCTTTATTCAGCATTTTGAATTCAGTTGACTCTGAATTCGAAGTTTTCATCACTTTGACTAAGACAAAAATAATTTAAATAATGTTATACCCAAACATAAATAATGGCATTAAATAATGAACTAATACACAATACAATAATTTATAATAAATAATAAAATAAATAATAAAGTAAATAAACAAATTAATTAGTTTAAAAAAAAAAAATAAATTAAATAACTCACAACTAAAGTAATGATCATATTTTTTGAACAGTGAATGTTTACCATAAGGTCTCCCAACGGGCACAGTGTTAGAATATTGGCTACCAGTATTATCTCTTGGTCCATTGTCAGATATATCTTGTTCATTAATGAGAGGAAAGTTAGATTGCTCTATAAGAGAATGTATACCATTATTGCTGTTGCTTTGAATGCTGTCAAATTTCGGATGAAAATTGGATTGTGGGGACAAATCACGGCCAGATGTGAACAGACTGTTACTTGAATTTGGACCATCAACATATTTATTCAATATGTCGCTCATTGTTATTTGAGAATGCCTGTAAAATATAAAACATTAATTTTTCTACCAAATAATTAATTTTTATCAACAAACCATTGTGGCAATTGTGTCACAGCATTTGGTATCATATTATGGGTTTGCCTATTGAAATTTGCTATACTCTGTGTCACAGGACTGGGCATCATGTTAAAGTTTTGTTTATTCGTGTTCGCTATACTCTGGGTCACATGATTTGGCATCATGTTATGGTCTTGCTTATTCGTGTTTGCTGTATTCTGTGTTATGCCATTTAGTATCATACTAAGGTTTTGTCTATTCAAATTTGCTAAACTTTGTGACACAAGATTTGGCATCATGTTATGGTTTTGCTTACTCATGTTTGGTGTATTCTGTGACACGGAATTTAGCATCATATTCAGATTTTGTCTATTCAAATTTGCTGTATTCTGTGTAACAAGATTTGGGATAGTATTATGGTCTTGTTTACTCATGTTCGCTGTATTCTGTGCCATAGCATTTGACATCATATTATGGTTTTGCATATTCATATCTGGTGTAAGCCCACCTAAATTATTGCCATTTCTTCTGGAATTATTGAACTGCGATGGATGCATGTTATTTAATGATTTATTAGACGATGATTTTTTTTTTGATCTAACCATTTAGTATTATCTTCTTAATTCAATGCACACTATTAAGCAAATTGCCCATTTGATATGTGCCCAATAAACAAAAAATTGAAGTCAGCTCCCTGTAATAATATTCAAATATTTTATTTACAATTGAAATTAAATAGTTTGTTTAAATATTATATTATATTATATTAGCTAATTGTATATTGGTAAATACCTACTTATAATATAATCCAAGTTAATTAGTATAATACTTTCCAAAGATATTAATACATTTTAATAAGCAAATATTATGTTTGACAATTTTAAGATAGTTTATTTTTTTTTGATTCCTAAGAAAAAATAAATTAGTGGGTATCTTATTATTAAATAAATTTAAAGTAAAAATATTATTTGTTAAAATGGGGTTATATAATAAAATAAAGTATTAACTAGAAACATAGCTTTATTTATTGAAATGTACAATAAATGAAAGGATACAAAGCAATCATCTTTCTTTAAAGCAATGTTATTCATCAAAAGTCTTATCGCAATAGATAACTTGTAAAAATGTAACTTTATCATTTTAATATACTTATCTATTATCAGTTAGGTTAGATATAAAATATTTTGAATTCAATTTATCATTATTAAAATAAATACTTATAGTAATTGATAATATTCTAGTTGAGTTAAGGCTATATCTAAAGAGTATATCTATAACCCTAGTTGAGTAGGTATTGAAATCCAAACATTTTAATATAAAATTTATTAAATGTAATAATATTATACTTCTAATATTTAATGGAGTAACCTACTTGTACTAAACAAAAGAATACCATTCAATTCTTTCTTCTTTATTGTTTTTATAATTTATACCAATTTGTGTACAATAACGGCAGTACACACGTCATTAAAATAAATAACAAACCAAGAATCATATCATAGTTTTTTCAATGACTCGGGGCATACTCACAATAATAATAAATAATAGGTTCTTCATGAGAATGAATCAATGATACATAATATAGTTTTTAAGTAGGTACCTACTATATTATGTGTCCTTGCAATTAAATAAGTTAGGTAGTTGTCTGAGACGTGTAATAAATAAACAAAATCATGTGCAAAAACAAACAATTGTGGCCATAATTGTATTTTATGGTGAATGGTAAAATACATGTTTGCGAGTGTTTGGATATTGGATTTGCTGTTCAGCAACGAACGCGCTTACACGTAATATAATAATATGACTCCCGGACGTTAGTTACGGAATTCCAAAAATTAAACGCGCGACGGAAGACGTAGGTACCGCATAAAATGGCGCTTGAATGGTAATAAATATTAAAAATGCACAGCCAACTCGTTACCAATCAACAAGTGAGTGTGCGTATGGCAGACGCTCGACGTTTTCGTTTTCATTCGGAGCGTTAGCCTGAGAGCGAGAGAGGCGAGAGAATAAACATACTTATTGTTATTTGTTATTCTATTAATGCTATTAATAATAATAATATCGTCATTGTTTTACCTGAAGTCTGTGCGGTGCGATGAAGTGGCGGCGGCGGTCGTCCAAGCGGGTCTCGTCGACCGTCGTCGTGATGCGTGCGCGCGGACGTGCAGCTGTCGAAAATCTGAACGCCGAACGGTCCTATAGGGCGCGCATCTTCGGGTGGCCGGGAGTCGGGATCCGGTGTAACGCAGCAACAGGCCTATGGGTGAAGGGTCGTCTTTGATGGGGGAGTGAAAGCGATTCGGGTTCGGGCTGGGAGTGGCAGCAGGTAGGTGCGCGTGCGTGAACCACCCTTCCCGCGATCGAACGATCAGCGGGGCAGCGATGACATCGTATAGTTTTTGTCACACCGCTCGTGTTTGCAGCAAAACTGATGAGATGACTCGGCACTGCGGCAACGTCGCACTACGGCGTCCCATCCGGCCGTTCGTCAATATCGAATGATGACGATCTGGAAAAAGGAAACTATTGTGTCTTACTGACTGACGACCCCCCGTCGTCACTCGTAGATCGAACGGCAGAGGCAGCCGGAATTCGGCAAGACAATACTGCGTCTTTGCGATAGCGCGCGTGCGCGACCGAATTTCTTTTGTCCTAGCCCGGACCGTTCGTAGCCCCCGGCGCAAACGTATATCCGGGAGCTGGGGAATCGAGGGTACTACAGTGCATTCACATCCGTTGCTCTACAGTTTCAGCAAAGTTATTTATTTTCTAGAGTGGTCCGGTTGGTCACGCCGATTGCCAAACTTTTTTTTTTATACCCCTACACACGATTGTGTATATTATGCGTATCCTGCTCACCCCCCCGCTTACAATTACAACCCCTGATAGAGTGGGATGGCACGTAAGGGTGTATGTGTGTTGAACGTAAAATGTTTGTTCATAATGTCTATATGAATATAATACGTGCAAAATTGTCGGTAACCCTAGGGCTCGGTAATATTACATATACGATGACCCGGTGCACGGCTGCTAATTTTTGGTGGAGATCACTACTTAATTTACTATATTTCATATGATAAATTTAAATAGTTAATATATTCAGTGTAGTGAAATTATTACCCTTCTAGCAGCCAGTGTTCGGACAATGGAGTTTACGTTCGTCATAATATTGTATAAATTGACCGAGTGCCACACTGCCAGTCCTGCGATTTATCCAATGCTTAATTTTTTTAATTTTTTTTCGGGGGTTCAAGAGTGCAAAACAATTTCCAAGTTTCCAACATTGGTTTTAAAATGAGTACAATTACTAAATATACTGTCGTACTAATGAATATGAATGGCATTTAAGCCGGTACTGGTTTGTTATAGCCAGTGTCGTAAATTGGGTCCAATTTCTGGTGGTGCAGAGGCATATTCTCAACCTATAATTTCCAACACACCAATAATCCAAATTCCTAAATAAAATGCTTCACGAGGCAACAAATAAAACAACAAATAAAGTTTTATTGACATTCATAGAAAAAGAGACTAATAAAACTTGAAACTGAAAATCTTCCTAAACATTTCAAAACAAATCAATAACTTTTGAAAACTTTATAATGTATAGAAAATGCAAATATAAACAACTAGTGAAAATTTCATATATATACGTTATATACGTTATAGATACTCCAAAAACCAAATTCGCCTAAGAATTCCCGTTTTTCCTTAATTTTGTTGTTGTTTTGTCATCTATAGGGAATTTTAAAATTTGATTCAATACGTCTTACTGTCATCTGACATTTGACTTTCTAGAATTGAATGAACATTGATCCAGTGATAACCCAGTATTTTGGCGGTACAATGTTGATAACAATATAATTTTACCATAGAATAACGGGCTGCAACTCATTTGCGCACATTTACCTTTTTTACAACTCATTTGCGCACAAAAACATAACTCATTTGCGCACAATTTACGAACAATAGAAACCTTTTTTCCAAAAATTTTATCCACGTATAGGCTGTACATAATCTCCGTACCACCATATTTTCGATTTGGTCAATACTGATAGTGGACAATTATTATACTCAAACAACATTTTCCTTCACCCTTTAAAAGGCTTAGGACTTTCTGTCTCATCATATTCTGATGTTATAGACTGGCGGGTTAAAAATGTTGTTTTAGCTATTATACATTATTCAAATTTTTTTCAAATTACAATAAATTAGGTACAATAATTTTTACAAGTCATTAAAATTTTGTCAAATTACAATAAATTAGGTTTAACGTTTAACAAAAATAGGGTAAGATATGAAACGGGGCGTCTGAATGGACAACCCGTATCGTCAAATAAAAATACGATGGTTTATAGCGGTAATCATATCTATTGCTATAGAAAATATATATTATATCGACAATATTGTGGATCAGTAAAGCGTCGATTTGTGCCGACCAGACTTATTTAAGTGAGTCGGCGCAATCGGTGGCGCTTGGGTGGTGGTCGGGCAACAGCCGGACCCTACTTTACAATGAGATAGGTTTAATAATATATTATGTATATTATACAACAATAAGTATTGGGCTGGGGAGCCGGCCGTCGTCGGTACAGACTTAAATCAAGCGGTACCCCGACGACGAACCTGACCCGGGTCGGACAGCTTAATTAAGCGCCGAAGTCGGTGTCGTGTTGGCCCTGAAAAGGGCCGTTTAGTGTTATAACGCCGGGAGTTGTTGAGGTGTCCGGTGGTCCTATAGGCCTGGATTGGTAAACGGCGATCGGTGATTGGTTGATGTCGTTGCTGCAGGAATCGGTGTCGCCACGGGTCTTATAGCTGTTAAACGGCAGCCACGTGGATCCTGGTACTGACGGCGTTGTTGTTCGCCTGTGAACTCGCACCGGTCTCACGCCGTGGAACGGTAACCGGCGATGTTTGACGCTCGAACGATGTTTGTGACCGTGGAGTGGCGTATCGTCGGTGGCCGGTGGTCGAACGGCGCTTCAGTCGTGGAGCGACGTTGTTGTTGGTAGTCGTTGGTCGGACGATGCTTGCAGCCGTAGAGCGGCGTATCGTCTGGTGCGAGGTTGGTCTTCTGGTCCGTATCTTCTTTCTGTTGGAACTTTTCTTATAGTTGTTGACAGATTGAAGGCTTGAAGTGGACTGACTAGATTGTCGAGTGTCCGGTATTTATACCCTTTTCGACAATCTAGTCCATCGTTGATTGGTCCGCGTAATATGTTTTAGACGAGTGAAAATCACACCGTTGAACGGACATTCCTATCTATCATGTGTGATTTTCACTCGTCATATCATGTCCTTTTTTTCAACCGTCTTTACTTGGTGGGTGTTTGTTCCGTAAAGCTGGTTACACACGGGGCGGTTTGGTCGCGAGCGGACGCGGTTTTTATCCGCGGCGGTTTAAAACCGCGTCCGCCGTTTTGCTTACACACGGAGCGGTTTGGCCGCGAGCCGACGCGTTTTTTATCCGCGGCGGTTTAAAACCGCGTCCGCCGTTTTGATTACAAACGTACGCGGTTTTTCTTCCCGTCATACTTAATAATAGTCAAATTTCACAAAAAGTAAAGTGAATATTGGAGCGAGTCAGAGTAATTAATAATCA